TTGATAAAAAACAGAAATCATTCATTAGGTTTTCCTTCTGTGAATACTTTTACCATCAACATAGTTTGGCATTTCTGTTCTGAAATTGCAGTGCCTGAATTGATACTTTCATTCCAAAACTCTACAGAATGGGGGAAGGGGGAGTGAAGGGGGTGAAGGGGTTGTGAACCACTGCTCTGACAGGTGTCTGTGTTTGCCAAAATGCATATGCCAAAAGTAATGCGGTTGAATGTGTAACTTTAGTTGTTTTTGCTGGATTTAAAACACATGCAAGGTCCTGTGACACAAAAGCAATTCTTACTAATTTTCCCTCCCCCCCGCTTCTCCTTTCACAAACCAGAGATTATCCCATTTGACTGCCTTATCGGCACTATTATCATAACCTCAGAGCGGTGCTGGGGGAAAAGTGCTGCTTGGAAAGTCAGACATGTGAACACCCCTACAGCTAAAGCTGAGAAGGAAATTCAGCTCTGAGAATAAAAGTCCCCTCAGGAGCTCCAGGAACAAACCAGCTGTTGTACTGTACTTATGTGTCAAGATAACAGACTGAAGGCAGGAAATGCTAACCTAGTGCATTTTTTGCCTGGGTAGCGTCAATGTAATGTTAAAATAACAGTTAACCCGTAAAAGTAGCAAAGTAAGATTATTTTAAAAATAATAAAATAGAATAAAATAAAAATAGTTAAGAATAAAAAGCTAAGAAAATTTGAGTTGAAATGAATATTTTGGCACTGAAAATTTGTTTACAGTCTGTGAAAGACTTGCAAATTCTCAATATGCTATAAAAAAGTCCAGTCGTGCAGTCCTTTATGAGTTGTACCATTGGAATTAATATTCACGGAGTAGTGAATTGCTTGAGACCCTGGCTCAAGCTCATGTATCAGACTTGCCCCTGTCCCCCACTTTTTCTCATTCTCAGTCATGACTTAAGTTGACTTGTTGCATACACTCTTGCTCTCACACAGTGCCTGAGACTGTATTTTCCTAGTTGAGCCTAATTTCACCCTCACCTTCTGTTTCTAGGAAAACAAATTCATCACAGAATTGCAGATATGGAAAAAGAAGTTGTTTTTTTTTTAATAGGTTTGGGGTAGCTCTTCCATCTGCATAGCAAAAATTGACATAAGTAGTCCTATAGCACTTGAGACCTTAATTTAGTGATGTACTTAAATGTTCAGAGTTCAGCAGATATAATAAAATATATACCAGAAACCCTCTAAATAAGCAATTAAAAGTTTGCTTCTAGCTGGAAGGAGTACCAGGAACAGAATAAAAATTACTTCCAAATATCTTACCAAATGCTTGGGATTTTTTTTTTTTTTTAGGATGTTTAATAAAAGTATTTTCTTTAAAGACACCAGTACACTGAGTGCAACTAAGCAAAGTATTCAGCTAGTTTTTATTATGACTGTCTATTACAATTGTACCACTTTGGAAGAAAACAGTGCACCAATGACTTGAGGGATTTTGTTTGTTTGTTTGTGTTTTATTCAAATACTCTCTTTTGGCCACTGCCCATTCTTTTGCACAGGGATCACCACTGACTTGTATCTGGGACTGCAAATGACAACGGATACATAATTTTATAAGAAAAGAAAAACTTAGCAAATTTATTTTGAAATCTAGATACCATTCTCCTTGTCAAGCATGACAGGGAGCTACCAATAAGAAAATGGACACAAAAATAGCAGAGTTTTTATTATCCTTCTCTCTCCCCAAGACTTTGAGGTATACGTCACTGACAATGCCCCAGCAGAAAGCTTTCGACTTGGTCACCTCCATTACCTGATTTCTGTACAGACTGGACAGGTAGTATTCAGGTACTGCCAACTCTTTGGCCTTCTTGAGGTCAACAAAATTTCTGGAAATTTAAAATAATTGCAAAACCCAGCTGTAAAAAATGAGACTGAGTACCATCTGAATGCATGCTGCAACTTTGCGGGAATACATTTATGAAACAGTTTTGTGGTAGAAAATTTGACTTTCTGAACTAGAATATATTTTTTTTGCCACTCAGCAACAATTCCTTTCTGGAATGCATCCTTCCTTTCAGTGTTATAAAGGCTTGCTGCCCATTAATCTGCACATGAACCATTTTGGTTCTTAGACCCTCACTTGCAGGGGTGAGGGTCTTGTATTCTTCAATACTTGAAGAATAATGCTGTACTCCAAGGCCCAAATTCTAAAAGTTATCTACTTAGGGAGAACTATGACAATGCTTCTTTGCCCTTGAAGTCTGTGCTCAACTCAAGGTCATGCAAGCATGGCCTAGACATGGTCAGCAGATGCCCATGGGAAAATATGTGCCAAAGCACATCCAGGAGCAGTGATGTATGGGTAGGGTCAAGCAGGCAGGTAGCATCTGGACAGTTTTGCGTATAAAGGTGGGAGGATCATGCAACGTGCCTGCATTCATTATCAAAGGTTTCTCGGTCATCAGCAAGAAATAATTCCCCCCCACACACCTTTCCTTTCTTTTCAGAATTTACACCCAAGGATCCTGTGTGATGGGTATTAAAAAATAGAATTCACACAACACTGGGTCAGTGCTTCAGCTGGTGTAAGCAGGCATTGCTTTAAAGAGGGGTCAAGAGCAATGACTGATTTAAATCATTTAAGGATGTTTCTAGATAGGCAGTTGTGAGATAATTTACTAACTCATGTCAGTGGGCTGAGAAAGCAACACCCTTTGTAGTGGGAGAATAAATCATCCCCTCTGCGCTACATTAGCTCCGTTTGGATTCACTCTTGACAGTGCATTGAAAACTGTGCCAGTTACTGCATGGCGGGGATTTATATGGTGAATCACAGCCCTTGAGGAATTGAGGTGAATCCATTAGCTAATCTTCCATAGTGCCACTTAATCTATAATGGGCGAAATGACTACACTGTGCTTTTCCACGAGAATTCTTCCAGATTTTCAATACTATTACACAAAAATTGCAGAAAGTGTGTGCAGTTGACTAAGGGAGTCACTGCCGACAGGTCAGTAAAATAACAATGTTCAAGGCATTTTAACTTCGGATTTGTAAACCGTACTTAAATTTCAAACTCCATAATTATGCTTCTAAGTCAACACTTAAAAATCCCAAACTTTCTAGCGATCCATAGCACAATACAGCACATCGTGAAGCTTTTTGTAAAGATTTTATGTATTCACACTCACACTCACATACATACTTACACAAATTATCTAGAAGTTAACTTTACTGTGATCTGTAACCAAATGTTCAAGAAGTATTTAAAATTATTTTGAGGGAGCAACTAGCTAATGCTTCATTTGGTAGGGTCCTGACTTGCAGGCTTTACACTGCATGTACAATCGCTATTAGGTGCTGAGCGTTACTGAGAACGCTGCACGTCAAAGAGTTAAAAGACTGATGTACCACCTAATAATACTTATTTATTTATACACCTATTTAGATACTTATTCCCCTACTGTTACCATAACTGATGACAAACTAACAAAGATAAAAGACAATAATGTGTAATTGATTAATGTACCAAAAGTTAAGATTTTTAGTATACAAAAATGAATTACCTTTTACAGAGATCAGTCCTAATTATTTTGTCATTTAGTTTAAAATGGTTTATATCTTACCTTCATGCAGATGCTAAATCTACACCAGCTGATCAGTCATAAATGTCTCTATGGATAGTATGACTATTCATTGCTCAAAACACCACCACCGCACAAATTTATTGTTTTACTCATTTATATCTTTAATAACACCATCTTTTCTTTGGAGTAACCACTCATCACCAAGAAATATGACTGTTAATTCCCGAAAATCACATTTCCATTTTTAAAGCCTAAAATCAGTATTCCTTTAAATTTACAAACTCTTTGCATTTGACAGCACAACATTGTTGTTCTAGGTGCTTAACTAAGGTAGTTTCTAAGTTAAATTTACATTAAAGACAATCTGAATGGGTATTCAAGAAATGCACGTTTTGTTCAAATGCCGACAAATATTCCTTAGGAGGCCTGTTAAAACAGATACTGTAGCTCAATGTAACTTTTTTAGATGTGGTGTAGGGGTGGAAATAATTAAAATGTTACCTTTGCCAAGTAATTCCCAATGTATCCTCACTGGCACTGGGGTATAAATGCCTGCCGTTTTGATTCATGGTCCAGTCACAAATCCTCAGCTGTCAATTGAAACCTAGCAGTCAGATATGGATCGAGCAGTACTACAGTTTTTAGTATTTAAATGAATACATGCAAACTAGTACTGTACATGGCAAAAGCCTTACTTTCCCAAGAAGTAACTTTAGAAAAGAAAACAAACAAAAATAACTTACTGGAAAATAAATGCCTGCAGATTTGCTTAAGATAATGCTACTTTAATATACTCCTCTATTAATAAAGCATAAAGAGTAACTAGTGTTTAGCACATAACAATTAGCCGTTATTAGATTACAAACTGAGCTGGAATAAAAGAAAATGTTAATATTCAATAGTGAAATATTTTAAGAAAGAAAATCAAAATGCTGTTTTCTATATGCAATGCTCTAAATAATGTGCATTAAGTTAAGGTCAAATATAATCAATATCTCAAAGCATGCATTTGGTGAAACACAGAAGACATGCAATTTATAGTGAAATTGCTCAAATTACACAAACTGTATGTCCTTATCCTGCTATTTAAGAAGGGTAAAAGTATTCTGTAATTGAAGTTTATTAATTTAGTGTTACTCAGAGTGGTTTTACTTAGTAAGAGGTGATAAGATAATCTAACCTTGTTCTAGACTCAGAATGACAGCATTTAAAATATTTTATTACATTTTACTATAATGAGGAATGTACTAAATGTAAGCTGAAACAAATTCTTCCCAGATCCTCAGATCATCAGTTCTGCCTTCACAGACTGTTCACGTAACCCTATATAGCTCTGTTTGTTTAACAGCTGCCCTATAGTGCTAGCAGATTTATTGAAAAGATACACTGTTTATTTTAAAGTTTAAGAAAGTAAACTTATCTGGCTTGTGAAGAAAACATACAAAAAGCATACATTTCAATCTCTGTATAGTCATATGGTATATAAATTACTCTACCATTTTGTATGATACAGCACTCTGAATTGAAGATAACTGTTGCCGAGTTTAATTGCATTCAACACATTCTAGTTTTCTCTATCCATATTCAGAGTCTTCAGGGTGCACAGGCTACAGCAAACAAACTAAAATAAATTATTTTCACAGGAGCACAATTAATTACAGTCTTTTCCTGACAAATACATATGCTAAGGACAAGACAATATTGCAAACCTGACCCTGTCTGGCTGTTACACTCATAAGCTTCCTGCTGTTAAGGACTGAGAAATGGAAATGTTAGTCTCTGATGTTTTCACAGGGATTGTTTCTTGTTTGTTATCTAAAGAACTCTAAGGGACCTTCTAAAGGCCATTAAAAGCATGACTAAACCACATGAAATTAACCAGAAAAGGAAACATTCAGTCAAAAAGTTTGCTAGAGGTAACTGTGAAGAATACATTAAATATGCTTAAAGAAAGGGTAAGTAAATACTTGGTATATTCACTTTATAAAATGATATCATAAATCAGATTTTAATTTTGAAGACATAGGAAAATACATTAGCTCCATTACTCATTGTGCAGGAGCTGTATTTCTGCTACAACCCTTAAGAATGTGTCATAATTTTCATTGCAGAGGTGTATTTTAAAGCCTTGTAGCTTAGTTATAAAACTTCCAGCTGAAACATAAGACCTAAATATTAACAAAAAAAGGGTAAATCTATGAATAAATACTCTTTGGTTGAGTATAAGAAATGCTAAAATCCCAAACTTAGTGCTACCACATGATTTTATGCACTTAGATTTAACTCAAAATCTGGTAAGCACTCAGTTTGCAATAGAACCTCATTGCACTTGCTATTTTAGGAAAACAATACAGGGTGGATACATTACATCTTAATAAATTAGCTATTAAACTAAGTAGTGATATTCTTCCCACAGTTTGTATGAAAATTTTCTCGGTGTACAATTAATATCTTAAATTTATAAATAAAAAAGATCCAAAAAGAGCTTTTCAAATCTATTTCATAAACATTAGTAATGGCATACTGCATATTATATACACTCATATAAACTCCAGCACATATACATCTAAATACGGTAATGATAATTATGGAACATTTTAAAAACATGCTGTACACACATACCCACATGTATATAAAGAGTCATTCTACATCAGATCTACAGGTAGTGTAAACTGTACCAACCATGCCCTACTTGTGCTAATGACAACTACATGAAAAAATTGAAATCTGAAAGAGGGCAGGTTCTCTGACAAGCCTGGGACTGCAGTGGCTGTGTTGAAAATCATCTTCCCAACACCAAAATCTATTGCTCCACACTCCTTGGCAGCCTCGCAGAACTGCCATTTTGTTTTTAAAAGCTAGCCTGCCAGGAAAATATTTTGTCTTCCTGATGTAAAATCCCCTTTCCCAGATCACTCCTGCTTAGAGGTCAGGATGCCGAAGATAGGAGGCCAAGATAAAAAATTTTTAAAAATATGACTTTAAAAGTCTGCATCCCTTACGTTCATCGGGTTCTTCCTGGGTAAAGGGGCTGGAAATGCTTAAAAGAGCGCCAAGATGCCTCACTGCATCTGAAGGAAGAAGGCGTGTGTTTGGAGCGTCAGCGGGAACGCTGCCCATGGAGGACACGCAGACTGCCCGGGAGGAAAAGCCCAGGAGCAGAGCCCTGACGCCTACACCTGGCTCTGGAAGGACGTAGGGCACTTGAGTACAATCTTTGCAGCTCTGTAAGTTGTTTGGAGTCATGCTGAACACTTTCTGGCCAGTTACAGCCCTCAGAGTAACCTCAGTGGCCTTCAAAATTATGCCACGGTGTTAGCTGGAGAGGAGAAGGCACACTCACCCACAGAAACCCCTGAAAGAGTTTCTGTGCGGGAGATGTGAAAAGCAGAGGCAGGAAACTACTTGCAGGCTGCTTGAGAAAGCTTGAATTCCTTGGCAGAAGGGCTTAACAAATAGTCCTAGCCAGATGTGTTTAATAAATGCTGAAAAACGCTACTAATGGTCTCAAAAATATGTCTTGAATGCAAAATAAATGACATGATTTGGCATGTGACAGGGTGAAAAGTCTTTCCTCGAAGGCTGCTGGACAGGCCTGCCTTCCAGTCACTCGGCTTTGCCACCGGGAGCAAGGCAAGCCACACAAACTCCCCTTCAGCAATGCCTTCCACCCATACAACATTTCTGAGTGTTTTTATTTCTTTCTCACCTAACCACCCAGAAGACGAACACAGAGCAGTGCCATGAAGAGAAAAGGGCGCCCCGCTTTGCAGTGCACCCCGAAGCCTCACCTGCAGCCCGACCATCCCTGGGACTTGGCCCTGCAGCACTCTCTTGCCCTGGGATGCGTCCTCATCATGACACTCAGGAGCAGGGAGAGAGCACAAAGCCGGCACCTAAAGACTGCCCGGCTGCAAGTACTTCTGCAGCAAGCCCATGCAGCTCCCTTACCTCCTCCAGCAGCTCACATTAAGGGGCCGCTAGTCCACGGGGCAGCAGAAATTCAACTGAGCACTTCCCTGATCCCTGCCACCAGCTGCAGCTGTTCACCTCCCCTGTTCCTGTTTTGCGACCAGTAACACGGCAGTAAGCACGGTCTCGCCTTGCCCACTGCTCTGAGACCCTCCAATACAAAGTTCTGCCAGAGAGCTAGATTATGACCATCACTATCTCCTCTGTTTATGTTGGGCTATCCTGCAGCATTTCACATATACAGCTCCCATGCACACTAGCATCCTATAGTCAAAAGCTCAACCTTTAATCAGAGTCTGAATAATTTCAGCAGTTAATATTCAAGCAAGTTTTGTTTTCTCATATTTAAAGAGTAGCATCTGAGATTAATACGCATTTCAAGCTTCTCTGAAGATTAGTAAAAGTAAACAAATATTTTTGAAAGTGTAATAGGAGACTGTGCTATAGTTTCTGCTATTTGAAAAAAGTCCGTAAAACTTAACATTTGCATATTGTCATTGTTCTGACTGAAACTTCCTTTAAATGTGTTTCCTTTCCAGCAAGCATATGTGAAAGGTGACCTCTTATCCATTTACATACCTCCCTGGTAGTCATGTGACCAAGTTTTACATCAAACTGTTTATTATGATAAGAGACACAATAAGAACAGTCTACGTGTTGATAACCTTTTTCCTGGCTTTACTGAGAAGTTCTTTTAAAGAATCCACTTGTGTTCTTTCAGCCTTTTGCTGAAATCAAAAGCAATGTCCGCCCAAAACATTTTAAAAATAGAAACTGCTTTCAGTGGACATTTAACTTTACAATTTCAATGATGAATAGTATTAAGGGAATTCCATTTTGAATTGCATGATTCAGTAACTAAAGGATGCATCTGGAAACAACTTCCTACTGAAGTGGCAGGACAGTCCTGTGTATAGGATATAATTAAATAAAAAGTTGTTTACAATTTTCTCATTTTGAAATTACATTTTAGAGACCTTGGAAGAGTCCACCAGTTCCTCAGTAACTGGGCCCAGCGTCAGTTAGTGCATTTTACTAGGATAGACAGTAGAGTTTTAGAGGTCATTGTTTTCATGGGCCTCAAATAGCTATTCCATTTATTTATTTTTTTAATTAAAAACAAAAACACCAATCCCAAGCTCCAAGGTGCACTGAAACTCGGAAATGTCATGGCCAAGAAGGAAAGCCTTAGTTAGTTATTTTGTTCTTTCCAATAGAAACTTGATTAATTCTGAAACCATTGATCTATACTCACAATAAAAGAGCTTCCAGTAAATCTTTTTTTCTTTCTATCTGTCTGTCTGTCTAGCTATCTACCTATCCATCTACCTTTCTGTATTCTTTTCACAGTTAAAGGCCACAACTGCTATTTCTGGCAACATTCTAGGTTGGTTTAGAGCCAGAAATAACATCAATATATCTCTAAGTGTCCATAATCTCACAAACATAAAGATTTCATGAAGTCGAGACTATAAATACGATGAGGTTACAGAAACGCCATCCAATATCCACGAAAATTCTGGTCTACTGGCCATTAAGATTTTTGTTACTGAACTAATGATTTCTCCATTAAAGTTGTATAGCTCTAAGAGTGGACATTCAACTAAAATCTGGCACAGGGACTTTGCTCACTTGTAAAAGAGCGAATTTGACTAAGTTGCCTCTATTTGTTGGTTTTTTCCTCTAATATAGACTTAGAAACCATTCAGCTTCAGTAAGTGCATATATAAACAGTAAGTGAATCAGATAAATAAAGGGGGAAAAAAGAGTGCTGCCACCTCAGTGACAAGACCATCCAACCTTCCTTGTATGTACACCTCAGTAAAGATGTTTCTTAACACAGACGATGAGCACAGAGTATTAGATTTGACTTAATAAAGTCACCTCACCAACCGCAAACAGCAAAATTAAGAAAAATATCCCCACTCACATCCTAGCTCTTATCGTTCCCCCCTCCCCTCACTCCATTGACCTCCCACCAATACACTGCTAACACATTACTAACAAGCAACCCCTGGGAGCAGATACAGAACGAAGGAAAACCAACTGACAACCTGCAACAGATATTTTGGAGTGGCTGGCATTGCCGTGACTTTTCCACAACAAAATGGTGACTCTCTAGATGCCACTCAAGCAACAGGCTTGTTTTGTTACTGTTAGTGTTAGAGTATAGAAATACCTAACATTTCAAGGTAGTTAAAATCTAGACCTACCAGAAATGACAGCAGAAAGTGGACTGCATTGTTATAAATCCTTGTCATAACCTTATCTTTCTAACTATTAGTGTAGCATGCATGCTAAGTTATGCACGTAATAGCACATTCATCACAGTGTTTGCATCAGTAAATGCAAAGATGTTGCTCCCATAGGCCCTGTTATACACTATCTTTCAAAATTGTATTTAATACTTCCCATCGAAATGTAAGTATTCTAGATAGTTTGTGCTATAAATTGTTATTGGAAGTCCTACCAAACTGTTACTTTGTCAGAAGTTCTCCATGTAAGTATGCATTACAAACTGTATGTTCAACTTTTAAATTTATCATTGTTACTGTAATTTATATAGGCTGCATTATGGTTCCTTTTAACAATAAAAAAATTCAACAATATATGCTAATATTTCTCATAACTAGAGAGAATAAATCTGTACAAAGCCCCCATCAATGAAGTAAAAAATGCACTAGTGACGGTATTTATTCTTCAGGGGTCAATGTATTTTACAGGGTCCCGTGAATGTTTAGAAGATCTCTCTGGGAATAAAATCATTGACTTTCTAATTTAGAATTTCTCTCAGCTAATACAAAATGATTGATTGCCTTTATTTCACGTACCCATTGATTCTCCTTTTCATTCATCATGGGCTGTTTTAAACTAAATGCATTTAGAACCTGCCATAAGAGTGGTCTCTTTTAAATTGTTGTAAAGTCGTGAAAGGAAATCAATCTCATTTCTGCCTTACAAACAGATAACCTCTACTCAATTGAAGTTATTTTAGACAATTTCAGTTCTCTACCCTCTGCACTCCCACGCCACTTCCTGGATAATAAACTTATATGGCACTATCATCTCTGATATCCTTTTAGGATTTAAGAGGATGAAAGTAATTAATTCTTTAGAAACTTATTTTACATATACTGCATTTATATACTCATATTTATACCTT